GGGAAATCTTCTCACTGCAGAAATCCACCATCGATTTGTACCAAGAATGACTGAACATAGGCAGGAAATCAGTAGTAGGAGGAAGAGCCTGAAGGAAAGACGAGAGGTACTGTGGCTAGGTGATGTCGAAAGACTGTGGGCAGCTTCCGTGGGTTAAGTGAAGGAGAAAATCAAACGTCCTAACTTGGGAGACATAAGTACTCCTCTCATTCAATATTTTCATGTGTGATGTAGAAAAAGGAGAGTGAAGTCATCTCAATATTCGCTAGGTAAGCCAGAGGACTGGAAAGTACCTGGGTCCAAAGTCATTGCTTCCTTGAAACAACTGACACGCAGAGGTGGAAGGAGCTGTGGTTGAGGTCTGGATTTCTGAGTTCTGCCCCTGGCTCTGCCACATGTCACAGTCGGGTAAGACTCTGCTGTATTTGAATTGACTGTTTCCTGCCATAAAATCTCCTCATTTAGAAAAGTCAGTTTATACTGTTTGCTCTTTAAGGCATCCCAAAGCTGCAATATTGTACAATGTAACTTTAGGAAACTTTATTTGAACCATAATTTTACTTCACATTTTATAATTATTGTCAAGTATATAAAATATCTTCCTTTCAAAATGTTCATTTTAGAATCTTTATCTTCTTGCAACCCAAACACAAATAGATTTGTTATTCAGCTTTGTTTATTTCAATGAGTTATCTCTGAGATGATATTCTTGAAGGAATACATTTTTTAAAAATGCAAATACTGAATCCACATGGAGTGTTTGTTTAATGATAGATATCCAAATCTCATCATTTTAGTATTTGTTCCTTTAAACTTCTGTCACTCATGTGAGACCTGCTATCTTTCTGCCAGCACCAGTACAAGGTGTTTCCTCAGAGCTGAACCAAGTGTTTCACAGCAGCTGTTACTCATAATAGCAATAAATCTACAAGCAGGAGTAACATTGAAAAACAAGTAGGAGAGTTGACCTTCCTGAGCAACTTAGAAATAAAAAGACATGGTGTTGTGGTCCAATGCCCATGTCACCAATGGACCCAGGAAGGGGATCAAGAACCTTTATGGTGAATACCACAAAGGGGAGCACAAGCTGATGGGGTGGGAGGGGAGACACCTGACCCCAGGATTTGAAATCCAGCTCATCATCATTTTTGATCAATAACAGATATAAGAAGCAAGTCTGATGCGCCCAGAAAATCTGCTTAGGTCCTTGGACAAATGAAAAGCTGCTTTGAATATCAATTGCCTGAGTTCTAAGTAGGATGTCCCTGGTAGTGCTTTACTGTAGGGGTTTTTACATTGTTCCTGAGCAAGAATTAACCACATTTGAGGTAAATGTTCTCAAGTTTTTGTGCCACAGACTCTTGACATCCTGGTAAAGACCATGGATTTTATCTCAGAATAAGAGTTACATGAGGGTAAAGTTATTCTAAAAACAGGATTGTAAGGGAAAACAACTATTTTGAGATATAATTGTTAAAATATCTTAGAAATAGCAAACTCTTATATAATCATTTGTGTGCTCCTTTCTGACAGCATTAAGCAAGATCAGCTTGCAGGTACAATATAACTATTTTAATTCCAAGCACTTGGGATCATAAATGAAATTATACAATATCTCCAATAACTATACTGTGATACGAAATTACCGATTTCTAATGGTGGAAAAAATCAAGGGTAGTAGTAACATCACTGTGTTTTTATTCAAAATGGAAGGAAGTGCCATATTTTCAAGCAGAGATTAGTAAAACTAAAGATAAAATATTTTTCCCATATGACTGACTATCCAAACACCTGCGCTAAGAATCTCATTTAAATGTGAACACCAGGACACTCTTCCTAGCATAATAGTTTTGTGATCGCATTGGAAAGAAGCTGCCAGGCAGACTTTACCATTAACTGCTGACAGACTGATGGTGGAAAAACACATCAACAACTGGATAATCTTCTTCATTAAGAATATGAAACTCGAAAGAGATCAAGAAGCACAGTCATTTTTGGTGTGTTTGTGCTGGCTTTGAATTTCTTTGTCTTTAAAAAACTTTCTGTTGCAGCGAGAGTTGGGAGAAGAGGCCCGCTGATCTCCTGCAGCAGTGGGGGCAGCAGGGTCTCAGTCTCCGTCTTCTTGATCCGCTGCATCATCTGGGCGTGCTCGGTGACCAGCTGCCGCAGGTCGGCCATCTCCTGCAGCAGCTTGGGGAAGAGGTACTGGGAGTCGGGGTGGTTGACCTGCAGGTGGAACTCCAGGGTGCGCAGGATGGTGTCCTGGATGGCCTCCACCTGAGGCACGTTCACGAGGCCCGGCCGGTCTCTGGGGACACGGACACTCGGGTCTCAGAAGGGCAGGGGCGCTCCTCGATCCCACCCAGCCCCTTCCTGTCAGTGACTACCACTGAGACCTGGCCTCAGCCCCTCTTTCGTGTCCTGCCAATAGCGCTTTTCCTGATCAGGGAGGGGAGAAGGCACTGTGGTTAGGAGACTCTGCCTGGGCTTAAATCCTGCTTCTCCCATAGGCTACCCGGAAGGCCCTGGGAAGGTCACCTGGGCTCTCTGGGCTTCAGGCTCCTCATCTGTAAAATGGGGATAAAATAAAAGAACCTCCAGCCTGGGGCTGCTGGGAGGACTGAATGAGTTATAATTATGAAAAAGAACTAGAACAGTGTGTGGCCTGAGGTAAGCTCTATGCCACCGCTGATGAGCAGGCTTGTTATTCAGTTGGGATCTGAGAAATGCAGGTGAAATACAGGTTTGTCCACCGCCCAAGGAACCCCATGAACACGATGGTTACTATCTTCCACCCCCATCTGTGTAAGGAGACGGAGCCGATCCTGCACGCACAGCAGCGCCGGGGTCACAGGCGCATCCCCCACCGTCTGAGCTCGGGACATCTGCGGCTCACCTGCCCTGGTCTCGCTCCCCTCCGCACAGAATGATCGCCGCGATGAACAGAGCCAGGTCACCGTCCTCCAGTTCCAGGGCATCGAACTTGACAGCAAACTCAAACTTGGGCTCGAGGATGTCACTGAAGGGCTTGCGGAGGCTGCGCAGGAACTCATGGGAGACAAAGCCACTGCCATTGGCCACCAGCAGCCCGTCTTTGTTGACGACAGAGGCCAGCATGGCGGAGATGGCCTCGTGCACACCATATTTGAGCAGGGTCACCTGGTCATTGAGGAAGAGGCTGCTGAAGTTGGGGATGCTCTTGGCGAACTCAGTGAGCTCACGCACGGTCTCCACCGTGGTGTACGGGCAGCGGGAGAAGACGTGCACCCTGCTCTCCTTGTAGGGCGGCAGGCCGTTCACCAGCTGCTTCCACACCGGGCCCTTCTCTGCCTGCCACAGTGTCTCGACGTCATGGATCACGAAGGGCTGAAAACCAGGCCCCATCAGAGGCCAAGCCTGGGGCCCTGGCCAGTGCTCCCACACCGCGGCCTGTGCCGTGGAGTCAGGCTGCCGAGGCTGCTGCCAGGCAGTGCACTCACCGCTGTGTGGCTGGACTTGCCGGTGAGGATGCTGCGGGCCTTCTTCTTGGTCATGTTGAAGTTCTTCAGGTAGGCGTTGTAGATGTGCTTGGAGAAGGCCCTCAGGTCAGCCAGCTGCGGGCTGTGCTGCTGCTCCTCTCTGGCTGTCAGCCCCGCCACCAGCTTCCTCTTCTCAGCCTCCGGCATCCAGCCAAAGTGGATGGCTGCAGAGGGCCAGGGACAGTGACTGAGGAGCCGGGCAGGGCCCAGCACCCTGACCTTCCTGTCCCTCCTCCTTGGGGACACGGCTCACTGATGAAGACCTAATTGTGACCCCTCAGAGGCTCCAGAGTGAGCAGGACAGCACTGGTGTGGCCCCTCCAGACCTCAGCTCCACCAGGGCAGGGCTCTGTCTCCCTCACAGGGTCCTCCCTGGTCGATTGACAGGGCCACCTGGCTGGGAGGTGACACAGCATGGCAGGGGAAGACTGGCTCTGCTGATGAGGTCTGTGCCTCGGCTCCAGCCCAGCACGGTACATGCAGTGTAGCCTGGACGGGCCGTCTCTCCTTCTTCCTCTGTCAGGAAATGTGAGCTGGCAGCTTACTTAAACCCACAAACCTTACTGGATCACTGCAACAACTACATGAAAATGTTTTCTGGAGCCCCAGCTACTCAAAAGACTGAGATGGGAGAATCGTGTGAGCCCGGGAGTTCGAGACCAGCCTGGGCAACAATCTCAAAAAAGAAAAACCAGGCTATGAATCTGACTTCTGTTACAAAAAAGGCACCAGGCCCCGCCCTGCCGGGCTGTCATCATTGTGCGACATGCCCAGGGCCAGGCATTTCTGGAAGCGAAGCGGCAGTACTGGCACTTGTTGCGGTTCTTCTGGATCTTGCAGCTCTGATCGCACTTCTCATACTCCAGCTTCATACGAATGGTGTGGCGGAAGAAGCCCTGCGGGACCAGGAGCAGAGCCTCCAAAGGCCTTGAGGCTCTGACCTACTGTGCCCGCCAGTCCTGAGCTCCTGGAGGTCAGCTAGGGTCCACACCTTTGCCCCGGAGAGGGGAGCAGTCACCTGCCCCCCCCCTTGCGAGGTAGTTTCCTTGCTCAGCTGTCTGAGGGCAGCCTCTGGTCCTGTCCCACCCCGTACCCAGCAGGCGCTCAGCAGATGTCTGTCTATGAATCGAAAAGGAGGGCACTGCCATACGCAGGGCCACCAGTGACCCAGTGACCAGATTCCTGCCCCACAGGGAGGAGGAGGAGGGGCTAGAGAAAGCTGTGACTCATCCTGGCGCTTGCTCACTGTGGATGAGACCTGGGTGGGGCTGGGCGCTTGGGTCCAGTGGGAACGTGGCGAGGGACGGGAGTCTGCGGCAGTGCACAAAGGCGGCAGGACCGTCAGCATCCGAGCGGCCTCCACAAAGGGCTTTCGTGGCATCTTTGCTCACCGCCTCCCACACAGCTACTGGCAGTTCTACTGTCCCCATTCCCATGCCTCCAGGGCAGCAGGTCCCAGCTGGCACTGCTGAGGCCAGGACCCAGGGGCAGCGTGAGCACCTCAGACTCCCGAGCTGCTGAGCCCGCCATGTGCCCAGCACCTGCACAGCGGTGCCCTGCCCTGTGGCCCTGACGTCTAGTGGGTGGCGCCCAGCCACAAACAAACACAGGTGCACTGTCGAGCAGCGACAGAGGCAACTGAGAAGACCACACCTGCTTCACCGAGAGATTGAGGGGCCCACTGTCCCTCTCGGGGGCTGAGGGGATGGTTACACCCCTTGGGATGACTGAAGACAGGCACTGAGGTGCTGGGATGGGACAGGCCATTTTAGAACTTGTGTCGCCCCTAAATCTCACCAGCCAAGAGGGGAGCAGCCCGCTGGGCCTTTTGCTGCTGCCAGGCTGGGGTCTCAGGTGCTTCTCCTTGAGCAGCTGGTTCCTGGGCAGGAACCTGGCATGGGCCTCTGAGGAAGTCACTCCCTTCCATGAGAGAGCAGGGATTAGGCCAGTGTGGCCACAAGGCCCAAGCTCACAGCCCATGTCCACCTCGTCACAGCTGGCGGTCCTGAGGTCAAGGCCAAGTGTCCTGGGCGCAGGTCCCAGCTCTGGGCGGCTGGGCCTCAGTTTCCTCTTCTGCAAAGTGGAGATGGGAGCACATCTCGGAGAGTCCTGATGAGAAGTGTGGAGTTAATGCAGAGGAGGATCTTGGAGCAGGATGTGCCACACATGTAAGCACCGGCTACTGGGACAGCGCCCACTGGAAAGCGGCCAGTCTGCAGTCCCCAAGGTCGTGGGGCCCACACACTCGGCAGGGAGTCCTGGGGTACCACTGCTCTCCCCTCACCTCTCCTGCCTGCTGCAGCCCCTGGCTGGGAGGGCTCTGAGCCCACGATGCCCAAACCCTGGCAGTGAATGGCCATAACTGGGGAGCAGCAGGGGCCTTGGTGAAGACCCCCTGCCTGTTTAGTGGAAGTGGAGACCCCACAAGGCTGAGATAAGCAGGAGTGGGGATGGGCAGGCAGGCACGGGTGTCACCCTGAGGACGGCTTGATCGAGGAGTGCATGCGAATCAGGGGTACTGACGTGGCAGTGGCCTGTGGGTGGATTTTCTAAAAATAAAGCTCCTGTTTCTTCTTGTTAAAAAAAAAACAACAACTTTCTGTTCCACCAAATATATTAGCATAGTTCCAAATTGTATAATGGATTCTTCTTGTTTTGTAGGAACCTCACCATTATCTTTTTCCCTAAACACCTCTCAACTTAATTTATCGTTTTCTTACAACTCAGTTAAATCCATTATAGTGTTGTACCCCAGCTAGAAGCATGAGTGAATATGTAATACAATGGCATTTGTACACGTCTGAGTGTAAATACTATGTGTGGGTGATGACGCATGTATCACCTGTATGCCACATACTACATGGACAAGGCCATTTTTATAGCAGGGTCCCTTTGTATTGCTTTTGACTATTTCTATTTTATAACTTAGTCCTTTACGGAGTGTCAAGATTTGGGTCACACCAACCACATCCTGCAAAGTGAGAGAGAGAATAAGGTCCCCTCTTTTATGCAGAGTTTCTCAGATCTTTTTCTGGAAGTGGGATGGCTGCAGACTTTGAACCATAGGAGAATATCCAATAACCAAAAGAACGGACTCACCATCCTCAATGGCAGCCCCGGGCACCTGCCACCTGCTGCTGCTGAGAGGTTTCTCTTCTATTTTATGCTCTTCTTTCACTGTGTTTCCTTGCCCCAGGGAATGAGCAAATGTCTCAGATTCACTGGTGTTGGGCTTGGCTCTCCTTTGATCAGTACCATAGGAGCTGGCATGATGTTTGTCATGGTCAGATAGAAACTTAGTGTAATTTTATGTTTCAGACCAGCTCTTAAAGTTCTGCCCTCTGTCATGGGAACAGATATCCTCTGTAGGAGCCACTCCTTCAGCTGAGGTCCCAGAATGAGAAGTGAGAATGGAGCTACAGTTAACCCACAGCCCAAGCCGGGGGTGGCGAACCCATGGGATGTTTGCTGCAGTGGGCACGCAGAGCCCTTTCTGTCAGCACACCACCTGAGTGCATGAGTTGCTTTTTCTAAACCAAAACCTCAGCATTCATGGTTTAATTGCAATGTTGGCACTTTGTGATAAATAAGTGAGTTTTGGGTTTTGGGTTGGGCACTCACCTCTAAAAGGTTCACCATCACTAGACTAAGCAGAGTTACAGCCATCCTGCCACCCTCAAAGAACAAGAGCAAAACATGCACGTTTGTTGTTATAAACTATGGGAAGTTTGTTTGTTACACTGGTATTTCAAATGAAGCTCTGCCACTGTCTCTATCAGCTTAGCCGGTAGCTCTTGTCTGCAGCAGCAACCAGCCAGCCAGACAAAAGAGCACTTGCAGAGGATTCAACTGCAAGGGTCTTTTCAGGGCAACTCATTTTCAGGGGTCAGATTGTGGGGATGGATTCAATGACACAAGCACAGTATGAAAGCTCAGTAGAGTTCAGCATTTATGGATCCAGTAGGTGTGTGACATGTCTGGAGGCCACCGCACACAGGGGTGGGGGTGCAGGCAGGGGAGAGACAGAGGAACCATTCACCAATGCCTTTATTAGAGTCCACAGCTTCAGGGCAACAGATTTTCTACAGTGAGTTTTAATTGGAGGAGTTAAGTGAAGCAGACATAAGTTGAGGAGGTCACATGGTGCCTGAGAAGTGGCCTCTGTCGTGCATGTACAAAGTCCATGCAGGGTGTGGGGGTCTGCAGGGCCCACCAAGCAGGCCATGACTTGCTGTCCCACAGCAAGTAGGTCCCAGGAGCAGCTGTAGAAAGAAGCTATCCGGATCCACTGCCCAGAAGAAAGGGAGAGGGCTGTGTACACCTGGAAATTATGGCAAAGGAGACTGGGCCCTGTTTCCGGGATGGGAAAGTGAACTTATTTTACAAATGGATGCTGACACACACAAAATAATAAACATTCATTCTAGCTGGAAAATCGGTAAATCCGGGCAAAGGTCCAAACTGTGCTTTGCCTGTTCGGAGTTACTGTTCCAATCGTCTTAATATTGAAGTACCTGCCCAGGTCCAAGTGACCTTTCTCTGTTTCCATACTGGGACCCCAGCTAAGGACAATACGATGTGCAACACCGGTCATCGTGGGATAGTTCAAAGTCTTGGGCAGGCTTTCCTAAAAACAAGCATATATAACTGTTTCACTCTTCTCAAGTGGCTGAGACTTCCACTGGGGGTCTTGAAAACCTAGGAGAATCCCTTTCTCATTTCTCTCAGGCCCAGGTTTCTGAGAAATACAACCTTACCTCAAATAGTTTGCTATGGTTTAAATATAAAATGTCCACCAAAATCCTCATGTGTTGGAGACTTGGTCCACAATGCAGCACTACTAGAGGTGGAACCTTTAGAAGGTGATCAATCACTAATAATTCAATTCTCTGATGCATTAATAACTTGATGGCATTATTGGGAAAACATTGAAACTTAGGGCATGGGGCCTAGTTGAAGAGGGTTGTCATGGGAGTGTACCCTTGAGGACTCTGTCTTGTCCCTTGCCCCTTCCCCTGTGGCCTGGACTCACTTTCTCTCTGTGTTCTGGCTGCCGTGAGATGCACATCTCACCTCTACCATGCCCTTCCACCATGATGTTCTGCCTCATCACAGGCCCAGAAACAATGGAGCCAGCAGACCATGGACTGAAATCTCTGAAACCATAGGCCAAAATAGAGTTTAAATTGTTATTCCTCCTTTAATTCTCAGGTATTCTTGTCTCAGGGACAGGAAGCTGATGAACACATACTTCAAATATGACCGTTTCATTCTGCCAACTAATGCTTATTGAGAAATTATTGTGTGCAGGGTATGATGATAAACTCTGTGGAATCCAGAATTTCTGAAATGTCAATACCACAACCAAAAGCTTCCAGTCCAAAGTAACAGAGATAACCACAAATAAGAACATGGCAGTGTAAGATCAGTTCTCAATAAAGATACAAAACGAGAGCTGTAGAGAAAGGCATACTTGGCTATTTCTGGATGAATCAATATTCAAGAGCAAGGGGTGAAAGACAGACCTGGACAACTGAAGTTTTAATCCTTTCCTTTTTTTGTAATCTTGGGCACTTACTTTTCTTCCTCTGTGCTCCAGCTTTCTCACCTGTAAGATGAGCTAACAATAGCCTTCCCCCAGTGTAACGAAGAAAGAAGATAAGAGTATAACTAAAGCACCTGCCATAGCATTTGGCAGGTTTGGCAGGTGCTCTGCAAGTTGTCACAATTGCAAGACTTAAAAGAAGAGTGGCATTTGCACTATGCTGTAAAGGTTTAAACAGGTAGAAAAGGCAGAGAAATACATTTTAATTAAAAGATCAGTTTTTAAAATAATAGCTATTATTTTAAAAAACAAGTTCTAGTGTTTAGAGTACTGTGGGCATGATTATGGCTCAACAATAACCTATTACCTGTTTTATGAAGTTCTGCAAGCGAGTTCAAAGCTTCTGAACATGAAGAAATGCAAAGGAGATGGACATGCTAATTACCTTGATTTGATCATATATTTTATACATGTATTGAAATAATCACATTATATCTAAGAATTATGCACAATTTTCCATGTTAATTAGAAAAAAGAATATTGTCATAATTCATGCCCTCAGCAAGGAACTGAGCTGAGATTTGCACCCCTTCCACCCTCCTATGCCATAGCCAGGAATGAACTTTGGAGGACTCATGTAGGTTGGTATTGTTGGACATGGTGACTCTTCAATGTGCTGAGAA